AAAATGACAATATTTTGGTACGTCACCACCTTGATTGTTTATAGTCAGAAATCAAAATTTCTCTTTACATTCAATCTCTATAAGAGGTAGAGGCACTCGAGAAATAGCCCGAATGGTAGTAAGTCCCAACTTGCTCGTAAGGCTGTTGATCGTTTCTTCTTTTGAAGGTTGCTCATAAACAAATTGATTCGGCTTTGACTCCATGGCATCTATCAGTACCAATTTACCATTCAAAATTTATCACCTGATTTTTGCTTTTTCGCTTACTGTAGCAGGGCTATACCAATTTACAATCCAAAATTTATCATCTGTGGCCAAAAAAATTTCTTTCAAGCATTCTTTCTTGCACTACGTTTTTCGCCCTCATTTTTTTAGCAATAACGTTGTACAGCTTCGCTGATTTTTTGTCATCAGAATTTTTTTACAATTCTCGAAGGAAGGAGCCATCGGCTGCTTTTGCTGGCTCGTGGTTGTTGCTGGCACGTGCAACCGCTCGGGCAGTTCCCACGTGTCTTCGCTTCCCACAGATAACGAATTACGGTGGAGGCTTCTCACCTTATGTTACAATCAGTGTTGTTGATTTTGACTGATAAGAAGAATAGCCTACCTCGTGATTGGAATCGAAGTCACAAGAGAAGATGCCAAGTGTAGCACCATATATACTGGCCATTGTGGCGCTTCGTGTTCTCCCACCATCCGGAATGTACGCATTCTCGTCATCAATTTGGAATATATGATCTCGCTGTATAACATTATCCTCAAAGACAGGCAGTGCAATCGCCAGCAACTACAAACAAGTCTTTGCTTTTTTTCGCTAGGAAATTGAAATTTGTTTGAAACATTCGCCCAAAATCATCAGAACTGTCCGAACAATCAATATGGACATCCTAAGTTAGTCGCATTATTAGGATGCACTCAGATTTGGGGCAAGTCATGCCAGGCCATTTGATTCTGAGCTACATATCTTTAGTTGGTACCCATTTGATGTTTATTGCACTACTTTACTAGAAATGATTCAAGTGACACTTTATTTGGACGGCTGAGGTTTTTTTTTAAATTTCCTCCGTTCACGTTGTTCCTATGCCGAATCTTATAGAGTGTATTTGGCGGTTTTCATACTGTGCACAACTGCTTGACCTTTACTGCATTGCTAACCACCACTCAGGCTGGTGTTGTTTTACGTTCCCAAAAATAGCTCGAGAAAACCCGGCAAAGCGCCTTCTCGAAATGTTTGGGGTTTCCAAGATTTGTGGTCCGGGATTTTGTCGGAAATGAATTAAAAATATGAATAGTCCAGTAGTAACTCATACAGTAACTTATACCTCAATATTTGGTGCCATCCAACGGAAAACCATATGTCCCGGCGGACGATGCTGCAGCCGTTCCAGCAAT